CACTGTCACACATACAGACAAACAAACACACGAACACGCATACTATCTCTCGTACAGGAAAACGCAAACACAAAAAGCCCGTGAATAAGAATAAAAAAAAAAAAAAAAAAAAAAAAAGAGAAGAGAGAGGCGAGGACTAGGAGAGAAGGGGAAGAGGAAGGGAGAGGGAGGGAGATAGGGGAAGGAAAGGAAAACTGGAAACTCAACGGAGAGAGAGAGAAATGAGGGGAGAGACAGAGGAGGGAGGAAGGAAATGACGTGAGAGGAGGGAAGTGACGCTAAAGGAGAAGGAAAGAGGAGGGTTGAAGTGAGAAAAGGAAGTCCGTGTATCGAACACGTCACAGTATCGAAGGGGCGGGGAGAAGGAGGAGTGAGAGAAGCGCCTCACAACTCGTACACCACGCTCACTAGAGCTATATATCTGTGAGAGAGTCACCGAGCAGACGTACCAGGTCGCTACACAGTCAGCCGTCGCCCATATCGTATCCGACTGCGACGATCTATCACCCGTGACCCTGGCTATAGGGTGATACACGACCAGATACCCGCAACGAGAGCGCGAGAGGAAGGTGGAGCAACGGAGGGGGCGAAGAAGGGTGGGGAGCAAGGAGGGAGAGAAGGAGGGAGAAAGTGAGAGGAGGAGCGAGAGGTATAAAGGAGGGGAGAAGGTAACAGGGGAGAGAAGGAGGTGAGCGGAGGAGGATAGGAGCAAAGGAAGGGAGGAGGAGAAGGGGGATTAGAGAAGAAGGGAGAAGAGAGAGAGAGGCAGGAGAAAGGAGAGGGGAGAAGAGAGCGAAGGACGTACTAGGGCAGGAGAGCGGAGTAAGCGTGAAAGGGAATGAGAGGATATGGGGAGAAGGGAGAAGGAGGGAGAGAGGGAAAGGCGAGAAAGACGGAAGAGGGAGAAGATGGGGAGAAGGACGAGGTAGAGGGAGGGGCGAGAGGGAGGGCGGGAGAAGGAGGGGACGAGAGGAGAAGGAGACAAGAGAGGGGGGAGAAGTGAAGGGAGAGGAGGAATGAAGAAGGAAAAGCGAGAGAAGGGAGAGGAAGGGAGAAGAGAAGATGTAGGGGAGAGAGCTAGAGAGAGGGGAGAGGGAGGGAAGGGGAGAGGAAGGAGAAGGAAGGGGAGAGGAGAAGGGGGAGACATGGAGGGGAGGAGGAAGGGAGAAGTGAGGGAGCAGATGAAGAGCAGGGGGAGAAGGGAAGGGAGAAAGCGAGCGGGGACGAAGGACGAGGGGAGAGGATGAAGCGGGAGTAGAAGGAAGGGATGAGATCAGGGGAGAAAGGAGGGGGACGAAGAGAGAAGGGTGTAGCGTGGAGTGAAGGAGGAGAAAAGAAGAGAGAGAGGAGAAGGAGAGGGAAGAGAGAGCGAGAGGGGAGGGGAAGGAAAGAGGGGGGAAGAGGAAGGGGAGAAGGGGAGAAAGGGGAGAAGGAGGATGAGATGGGAGAGAGGAGAAGGGGAGAGGAAGGGGAGAGAAGGGAGAAGGGAAGGGAGAGGGAGGGGAAGCGGTGCAGAAACTCCAAAGCTCAAATCACAGCACAGACTTTGGAGAAAGAAGATATCGTAATGGGCGTCTTTCCTTATCGCCCGTGGTAAAACTCGAATGATCGACGTGCAATAGAGAAGCAATGTAAAGAGATGTTTCAGAGTTAAAAAGAGGACACTTGGATGATAGAAATATTAAGAAAGTACCTTTCATCATTTGTCTCCTTTATATTATCTCTCTATCCTATCATCGTCTGTCAATTTTTTTTTCTCTCTCTCTCCTTTTGCTCAAATGGATAGGAGAGTTTCAGGGAGAGTTAAAAGAGACACTTTGAGGATTTGAAGTAATATGAAGTACCTTTCAGTCCATTTGTTTCCCTTTATATAATCTCTCTTATCTATCTTCTAAGTCAATTTTTTTTTTTCTCTCTCTCTCTCTTTTCCTCCAATGTAGAGACAGGATTCAAGCTCGTTGAGTTTGATAAAAGAGACCACTTGGATTTGTAGAATATGGCGACAGTACCTTTCAGTTATTCGTCGATTCTCTCTGATTTATCTATCTATATTTTTTGTATTTTCTGCTCTCTTCTCTCTCTCTTCTCTAGACTCTTCTCTACTCGTCTCTTCTCGTCAGTAAACCTCGTATCTCTTTCCTCTCTCGATCGACAAAACTCTTTCTTTCTCTCTTCGATCTTTCTCTCATCTCTCTGCATGACTCATCTCTGGCTGACTCTCTCTCTCTCTCTCTCTTCGTGGTGCTGCGTACTCGATCTCTCTCTCTCTCCTCTCTCTCTCTCTCTCTAACTCTAACTCCTCTCTCTCTCTCTATCTCTAACTCTTCTCTCTAACTCTCTCTCTATCTCTCTCTCTCCTCTCTCTCACTCTCTCTCTTCTCTCTCTCTTTTCTCACACCTTCTCTCTCATCATTTTCTCTCTTCTACTTCTTTTTTATTTTACTGTTCTCTAACTCACCTGTTTCCATCTGCCTCTTTGTCCATATCTCTATTTGAAAAACAAAAAACGAGAAAAAAATAATAATCGCTAAGAATTTCACACAGTAGCAGTAATAGTAGAAGCAGTAGTGGTAGTTAGTCGAAGTAGTATTGATAATAACAGTAGTAGTAGTAGTAGTAGAGTTGGTGGTGGTAGCAGTAGTTGTTGATGTTATTGCAGTAATTAACACGCTTTCATAGTTACTTAATTGAGTTAAACTTGCAGAGCAGCAGCGCAGCAGCAGTCAGTAGTAAGTAGTAGTAGTAGTTGTTGATGTTGTTTTGGCTGTTGTTGATCTGTGTTGTTGTTGCTCTTGCTGTTGCTTGTTGATGATGATGTTGTTGTTGCTGTTGTTGTTGTAGTAGCAATAGCAGTAGCAGCAGTAGTAGAAGTAGTAGTAGTAATAGTAGTAATAGTAGTAGGAGTAGCAATGATGGTGGAGTTGAGGTGGTAGAAGTAGTAGCAGCAGTAGTAATCAGCAGACTTTCCTAGTTACGTAAGTGGGTTACACTTCGTCCCAAGGCACCAATCATGGATTCGCACGCCTGCTTAAGCCAGAATTCCTGACAGATTAACAACAATGGCTGACAGAAGGATTTTAAGTCGGCAATAAACGAGAACCGCGAATGGAATATCCCAAGTTGACTGCAGGGATGCGGAAGGAAAAAGTTTTGCGATTTAGGATAAAGCAGACTGGGCGCATATAGGGCATATCTCATTTCTTTCTCTCTTGTTCTTCTTCTGTCTCTGTCTCTCTGCTCTCTCTCTCTCTCTCTCTCCTCCTCTCTCTGTCTCTCTCTCTCTCTTTCTCTGCTCTGTATCTGTGCTTTCTCTCTATCTAGCTCTCTCTCTCTGTCACTCTCTCGCTTTCGCTTTCGTTCTATCTTTTTTTTGATTTCCTTCTCTGTGTGTTTGCCCATTTCTCTCTCTCTCTCTCTCTGTCTCTGTCTCNATATATATATATATTATATATATATATATATATATAAAATGTATATGTGTATGAATATACATGTATATACACTTATACATACATTATAGACATATACATACACCATATGCGTATACATACATACATACATATATATATATATATTATATATATATATATATATATATATATACACACATATATGTGTGTGTGTTCATATTTGTGTGATTAAATATATATAAACCCATTTGTATATATATATATATATATATATATATATATATATATATATATATATATATATATATATATATATATATATATATATGAACTGATGTCGGGTTGAGAGAATGGCACGATAGAATGGTCATAATAGGTCGTACAGATAAAGTACAAAACCAGACTGGGTCGAGATGAAAAAAGCCTAAAGAACCCTGCCCGAGGTCAATGGTCCCAAGCCTTTCAACGCACACACTTGTCAGGAAACGGCCGAGCAAACGCACCCTCTCCTGTGCCATTGTCGCAGATAATCGATCCAGCTTTCATTTTACGATCAGTGCAGCCAGTGCGTCAGATGACGTATATCGGTTCACTGATTCGGAGATTTCAACTCTGCTTCGCGTTATAACCCTTCCGCGTTTCGCGCGATTAATCTCCTGCAACCACCATAATGAAGTCAAGACCAAATTACATGTAAAAGAATTAGTGTGAAATTCTATAACCATTTTGGATATGAAAGTTTGCAGACAGACACGTCACGAGTTATATCATATATATATATATATATATATATAATATATATATATATATATATAATATTATATACCAGTACATATCGTACTACTTTCCTCTTTAAAACATTTAAGTATTTTAGTTATGAAAGCTTAGGCCATTTCGATAATCTGTAATTAGGAACTTGACATTTAAAGTGCGAATTTTATTGATTTATTAAAAAAAGGGAAAATCAGTACATAGTGTTATTTGTTAATTTCATGTTAGCAATTGAAGCACAGTCATTTATCATTCAAACAAAAGTCTCACGAATCATTCAGGAAGAATAGATTGGTAAATCATGTGGGTATCTGTCTTATCCATATTCCTATCTAAACTTATACTTATCTATGCGGTATATATGCACACACTAATGAGTTTGTGAAGTCTGTACACTCATAGGGTCGTGCAAACGAGGGAGGAGGGTTCAACACTTTAGTTTAGTTTGAGTCAAAAGTTAAAAAGTAAATAATGGCTTCAAGAAGCTGATGCTATGTATTTGATACATGTTAGTCTGTACGTATTGTGTAAATAACTGTGGAGAGATTATAACTACAGCAAAATTTTGCTAATGATAGAGAACCTACAATGCACAGACAGTTTCAAATTCTTCTTTCAGACTTGAAGATGAAATCCTATGATTCTGTCATGAAAGTATAAATCAATTATGCCATAAACTATTCTATACGAAAGGGATATTTTTTCTTGTATACCATTTACTGTAAGGTAACCTGAGTTCGCAAGAATTTCAGGCGGATCTGAAAGTCTAGAGTAACTGTCAGGGTACATTTTCCAGGATTGGGATAAAGATATTTCATGTGATTTTAATGATTTTATTTCGAAAAAGGTTGATTTTGAATGTATATTTCATCATGTACACCTTTTTTCAGATGATGTTCTGATTTGTTTTTCACTGTATGTAATTTTCAATATGCTTTTTTATTTAGCATTTTCGGGAACTGTTATCTCAACTTTATTTTCTTTCATTTCACTCAGGTTGGTAACCACATCCTTCATGTTGGATTCAGAGACGACTCCAACGGATGAGTTTCCATCACAAAGTGTCGTTATTTTTTTTGTGAGGATCAAGGACGACAGGAAAGTTGGAGTTACTCTTCTTCGTCGATCTTGATGACGGGGGCGCCGACGAGGCTAGGGTAGTGGGCGTATGGAAGGCCATAGGCATAGGGAAGACCGTGGGCGTAGGGAAGGCCGTGGGCGTAGGGAAGGCCGTGGGCGTAGGGAAGGCCGTGGGCGTAGGGGAGGACGGCGTGGGAGAGAGCAGTGTAGGTGACGGGCTTGACGTTGACCACGGGCTGCACGTACTTGACGGCGGGCACGGAGATCTCGTGCTCCTTGGTGGTGAGCTCGATCTTGGTGGTGTCGGCGGGGGTGTTGGCGTCGACCGGCTCGAACTGCTTGGTCTCCACAGTTTGCTTGGTGACGGTGGGCACGGCGTGCAGGTACGGGAGGGGGATCTCCACGTCGCGGCGACGACGACGTGCCTCTTCTACAGCTGGCTCCTGTTCAGCCTTGTGGAAGATGTAGGGGAACTCGGTGGCCTTGAGAGTAGCGTCGGCGTTGAGGATGTAGGGATAGGCAGCGTGGTGGAAGGCGTAGGGGGAAGCGACGAAGGGATGTCCGAAGGGGTGGGCGTAAGGGGAGACCAAAGGAATGGTCTTGATGTCGGTCTTGACATGAGGGGTAGTGATCAGCTTCGCTTGAGGCAGCACCCAGGGCGCCGTGTACGGCAGCACCAGCTGTGCTGAGCAACAGGATGCAGCGACCAGAATCACCTGTCGAAAAAATAAAAAATCATGAATACAACTGCTATATAACATAATTGATAAAAAACAGAAAGTTTTCCCCTATATACATCTATATCTCTCTCTATATATATCGTTATTATCACAGGTCGAGTAAGGTTTTCTCTTTTCCTTGTGCTGCATACACCTAAGAATCTCCCTTAGTTACAGAAGTGAACAACACAAGGAATATCTTGACTCGTGAACAGTGATACTAGATGTAAGCCCCTTTCTTGGTTTCGAAAATGAACTGTGAAATGTTTCCTTTCCTTCCTCTTTTCATCGAATAGAAACCTGTTTCACACTTGTTTCAAATACTTTGTGATTGGAATATTCCCATTCTTACCAGAGCCTTCATCTTTCGAGCGAATGTGTCCTTCTCCTGGACACTGCGATGCGTCTGCTATATATACTTCGTGGTCGATGACGTCATGAGACCCCGCCCAGTTGTGTCCTCCCGGGCATTTTCTCTCATCTTACTTTGTAAGTAATCACTGAATGTACTCTTATAATAGTATGTTAAAAAGATATGTCCAAAGATATAGAAGTCTGGTTTAGATAGTAAGTATAAAATAGATAAATTGACATCCACTGACCTCATGTTATCCGGAATCAAACGTCTGTATTAGTAAACCCAATTAAAAGCAAAATTCTATTTGTTTTAATAAAAAAAAATATTTTAAATTTTGCTGTATGATTTGTTTTTCTAATCCAGTGCTGAGTCGCAAGTTCAGGATGAGTGGGTCGCCACATAATGATAATAATGATAATAATAATAATGATAATAAATAGTTTAATATTGACTGTTCTAATAATGATATACATTGAAATGCATATATATATATATATATATATACATATTTATGTATATACATATATACATAGATGTGATATATATATATATATATATATATATATATATATATATATATATATATTCATATGCATTTACATATATAGATGTGTTTGTATATATGTATATATATACATAGATACATGCATAAATATACTATATATACATACATACATAAATATATATGTATATATGTATATATATATATATATATATATAATATATATATATAATATATATATGTAACACACAATATACATATATATATATACATATATACACACAGATATATACATACATATATATATATATATATATATATATATATATATATATATATATATATATATATATATATTATACATACATATACATATATGTATATATATATATATATGCCTATATATAGGTATGAACTGATGTCGGGTTGAGAGAATGGCACAATAGAAGGGTCATAATAGGTCATACAGATAAAGTACAAAACCAGACTGGGTCGAGATGAAAAAGCCTAAAGAACCCTGCCCGAGGTCAATGGTCCCAAGCCTTTCAACGCACACACTTGTCAGGAAACGGCCGAGCAAACGCACCCTCTCCTGTGCCATTGTCGCAGATAATCGATCCAGCTTTCATTTTACGATCAGTGCAGCCAGTGCGTCAGATGACGTATATCGGTTCACTGATTCGGAGATTTCAACTCTGCTTCGCGTTATAACCCTTCCGCGTTTCGCGCGATTAATCTCCTGCAACCACCATAATGAAGTCAAGACCAAATTGCATGTAAAAGAATTAGTGTGAAATTCTATAACCATTTTGGATATGAAAGTTTGCAGACAGACACACGTCACGTATATATATATATATATATATATATATATATATATATATATATATATATATATATGAATATATATTTAGTAGATATCGTACTATCTTCCTCTTTCAAACTTTGAAGTATTTTATTTGTGAAAAGCTTAGGCCATTTCGATAATCTGTAATTAGGAACTTGTCATTTAAAGTGCGAATTTTATTGATCTATTAAAAAAAGGAAAATCAGTACATATAGTTATTTGTTAATTTCATTTTAGCAATTCAAGCACAGTCATTTATACATTCAAACAAAAGTCTCACGAATCATTCAGGAAGAATAGATTGATAAATCATGTAGGTATCTGTCTTATCTATGTTCATATCTAAACTTATACTTTTCTATGCGGTATATATGCACACACAATGAGTTGTGAGTCATACACTCATAGGGTCGTGCACAGGAGGGATGAGGGTTCAACACTTAAGTTTGGTTTGAATCAAAAGTTAAAAAGTAAATAATGGCTTCAAGAAGCCGATGCTATGTATTTAATACATGTTATTCTGTAGGTATTGTGTAAATAACTGTGGATAGATTATAACAGCAAAATTTTGCTAATAGAGAAGCTACAATACACAGAGACATTTATTTGAAATTGAAACATTTTCGAATTCTTCCTTCAGACTTGAAGATGGAATCCAATGATTCTATCATGAAAGTATATACTTATTATGCCATAAACTATTCTATAAGAAAGGGATATATTTTTTTCTTGTATACCATTTACTGTAAGGTAACCTGAGTTTGCAAGAATTTCAGAGAACTAAAGGCTAGAGTCAATGTCAGGGTACATTTTCCAGGATTGGGATAAAGATATTTCATATGATTTTAATTATTTTATTTCGAAAAAGGTTGTTTTGAATGTACGTTTTATCATGTACACCTTTTTCAGATGATGTTGTGATTCGTTTTTCACTGTGTAATTTTCAATATGTTTTTTATTTGCATTTTCGGGAACTGTTATCTCAACTTTATTTTCTTTCATTTCACTCAGGTTGGTAACCACATCCTTCATGTTGGATTCAGAGACGACTCCAACGGATGAGTTTCCATCACAAAGTGTCGTTTTTTTGTGAGGATCAAGGACGACAGGAAAGTTGGAGTTACTCTTCTTCGTCGATCTTGATGACGGGGGCGCCGACGAGGTTAGGGTAGTGGGCGTATGGAAGGCCATAGGCATAGGCATAGGGAAGCCGTGGGCGTGGGCGTAGGGAAGGCCGTGGGCGTAGGGAAGGACGGCGTGGGAGAGAGCAGTGTAGGTGACGGGCTTGACGTTGACCACGGGCTGCACGTACTTGACGGCGGGCACGGAGATCTCGTGCTCCTTGGTGGTGAGCTCGATCTTGGTGGTGTCGGCGGGGGTGTTGGCGTCGACCGGCTCGAACTGCTTGGTCTCCACAGTTTGCTTGGTGACGGTGGGCACGGCGTGCAGGTACGGGAGGGGGATCTCCACGTCGCGGCGACGACGACGTGCCTCTTCTACAGCTGGCTCCTGTTCAGCCTTGTGGAAGATGTAGGGGAACTCGGTGGCCTTGAGAGTAGCGTCGGCGTTGAGGATGTAGGGATAGGCAGCGTGGTGGAAGGCGTAGGGGGAAGCGACGAAGGGATGTCCGAAGGGGTGGGCGTAAGGGGAGACCAAAGGAATGGTCTTGATGTCGGTCTTGACATCAGGGGTAGTGATCAGCTTCGCTTGAGGCAGCACCCAGGGCGCCGTGTACGGCAGCACCAGCTGTGCTGAGCAACAGGATGCAGCGACCAGAATCACCTGAAAAAAAAAAAAAAAAAAAAAAAAAAAATGAATACAACCGCTATATAACATAATTGATGAAAAACAAAAAGATTTTCGCCCCATATACATACATACATACATACATACATACATACATATATATATATATATATATATATATATATATATATATATATATATATATATATATATATATATATAGCGTTATTTCACAGGTCGAGTAGCATACGATTTTTTCTTTTGTGTTCCCTACACCTAAGAATCTCCCTTCAATCAAATTGAAACCTGTTTCACACTTGTTTCAAACACTGTGATTGGAATATTCCCATTCTTACCAGAGCCTTCATCTTTCGAGCGAATGTGTCCTTCTCCTGGACACTGCGATGCGTCTGCTATATATACTTCGTGGTCGATGACGTCATGAGACCCCGCCCAGTTGTGTCCTTCCGGGCATTTTCTCTCGTCTTACTTTGTAAGTAATAAACTGGATGCATTTTTATAATGTATTATGTTGAAAGGAAAAAATCTTATCTAAAGGTATTGAAGTCTGGATTAGATGGCATAAGATAGATAAATTGACATCTACTGACCTCATGTTACATGGAATCAAACGTCTGTATTAGTAAACCCAATTAAAAGTAAAAATATATTTATTTTAAATAAAAAAATAAAATATTTCATATTTTGCCGCATAATTTTTTGTTTTCTGACATTCTGGGCCAGCCCGTTGAAAGAAAGAAAAAAATCGATTTCATACTTCAGATAAACATAAAAGTTAAACATGTTATTGTTATCATTTAAAACAATAATAACTACTATTAACTTTGCATATGTGTGTAATAGAAAACATGATATTTCTGAGGAGAAAGAAAATGATTCAAAGAACTGATCGATGGTTCAGTGCCCAAGGTCAGGGTTCGTCGAAGTAAGGGTCGCAAGTTCAGGGTCAATGGGTCGCCACATAAGGATAATGATGATACCGAATAATGATATACATAAATGATTTATATTCATATACACAAATATGTATAATAAATATATAAATGCTTATATATATTCATATAAATATACATACTTAAATATATGTATAAATAAATAAATATAATTATATATATATATATATATATATATATATATATATATATATATATATATATAATATAATATATTATATATGTAAGCACACAATAACATATATGCACTTATATATTTATATACACACAAATATATACATACCTACATATATGTATACATACATACATATGTACATGTTATATATATTATATATATATATATATATATATATATATATATATATATATATATATATATATATATATATATGTATGATATATGTATGAACTGATGTGAGAGAATGGCACAATAGAATGGTCATAATAGGTCATACAGATAAAGTACAAAACCAGACTGGGTCGAGATGAAAAAAGCCTAAAGAACCCTGCCCGAGGTCAATGGTCCCAAGCCTTTCAACGCACACACTTGTCAGGAAACGGCCGAGCAAACGCACCCTCTCCTGTGCCATTGTCGCAGATAATCGATCCAGCTTTCATTTTACGATCAGTGCAGCCAGTGCGTCAGATGACGTATATCGGTTCACTGATTCGGAGATTTCAACTCTGCTTCGCGTTATAACCCTTCCGCGTTTCGCGCGATTAATCTCCTGCAACCACCATAATGAAGTCAAGACCAAATTACATGTAAAAGAATTAGTGTGAAATTCTATAACCATTTTGGATATGAAAGTTTGCAGACAGACACACGTCACGAGTATATATATATATATATATATATATATATATATATATATATATATATATATATATATATATATATATATATATATATATTAGTAGATATCGTACTATTTCCTCTTTCAAACTTTAAGTATTTTAT